CAATATGTAGTTATTGCTTATTTTAAAACGCATTACGTTTGCTGGCTTGGTTTTTAAATTTCATGGTCACTAATTCCTCTTTACACGCACTATTCTGTAATGACATGATATTCCTTAGGAAACTTGCATCCATTTACAAATTCCCAAAGAGTTTGTCGTAAAATTCAACAAACTCTTGAAGGAAGGAGAAGTCTATGATATTCACAATTTCGTTGTGCAAACATGTCACGTGAGGTTTAAGTTGTGCGAACATAAGTACATTATGAAAGCGAACCACAACACTTTGATTAGCTTACGGATCTAGATGAATCCGATTTTCCCAAACACATGTTCAAACTCAAAGATTTTGGATCGTTGAAGGCTCAAGTATAGTTTGTTGCGTGGAGTAATAAATATGTTTTGAAAATTAGATAGATAATAAGTAATAAACATGTTTTGGAAATTAGATAGATTTTGTTAATTAGAAATTAAGAGCTTCCTAATAAAATACATAATCATTTAGAAAGTAATAAATATTTTATAAGAAAGGACCCGATCAATATCTACATCTATCTATCTACAATTCTAATAAGAGCCAATAATATTAGGCGCTTAAGTGGAATAAAAAAATGTTGGTGATAATTGTTTCTTAAAATGAATGGTTCATATTATTTTGATTTTAGTATTTTTTTTAAATTATTTTTCTTATTTACCCTTTATTATATTATTTTCTTCCCTTAAATAACCTTAAACTCCGTAGTATAAACTTTATTAATGGAATATTTTATTAATTTAACTATTTATTATTCTTAACTTACTCATTAAATTCTATAAGAAAGGTCTTAGGTTCGAACCTCATCCCAATTAGAGTTGACATAATTGTTAAACATATATTACGAATATGTTAAAATGTATTTAAAAATATAATATAAAATTGAACATAAACTTTGATCAAATAATTAGCCCGACTAAATACATAGCACTCAATGATTATAAATCAGGAACTTTGAATATTATTTGATTTTCTTTCATTTAAAAAAAAAATAAATTTATTTTTTTTTTCGTTTAATTAATCTTCTTTTAATTATTGAGAACAAAACTTAATATTTCAATTATGCTTTTATCAATGCATGAAAAATTTTAAAAAAAAATTGTAAGTTAATTTTTACTATACTATCATAACAATATCTATTGTAACATTATATTTTGAAGTATTTATTATATCCTCTATTGACATCAATTGTCATTGACAAACTCTCAAAACAATTTGTCTCAACAATGAATGGAAATTAAAAAAAAAAAATCAATGATTTCATTATTGTGGATTAAAAGTCTGTACACCACTTTATTGCTCTTATTAAATTAAAAAATAAATTAGTAGCTACAACAAAAAATAATACATTTGCATTTAATTAATTTAGAATAAGATGTCTATAATGCCTCAATATTCTGTTCTATTAGGACTAATATTAGGATTCTTGTATTTGAGTCATAGTATGATTCCATATTCTAGTCTTCCTATGGTTCCTCTTGTATATATATTCCCCGTATATGTATAGTTGTAATTAAGTTCATTCAATACAATTCATACAGTTCTCATATGGTATCAGTTAAGCTAGGGTTTTCTCTGGCTCAATGGCTACCGAATATGTTCAATCATCCGAACGAACCATCTCCAACGCCGCGACTACATCTTCCGTGAGCGCAGCCGTGTCTTCGCTTTCTACTGCTCAGCACTTCATCAGTATTAAGCTTACACACAAAAATTATCTGTTTTGGAGAACTCAGGTCGTTTCGTTTCTTGATGGACATGGTCTCATGTCGTTCGTCGATGGAACTAACCCCAGTCCGCCACCTTATCTTCCCGTCGTCGAAGGTGGCTCGCCGACGCCCAATCCCGATTACGCAACATGGTTTCATCATGATCGAGCTCTTATGTCCATGTTGATTTCTTCTCTCAATGAAGAAGTTATGCACCTCGCCGTTGGTCGTCGTACATCACGGGAGGTTTGGGAGTCAATAGAACGGTCATTGGCTTCCGCATCTCGCGCCCGCTCGTTAAATCTCCTTGGCCAACTACAGTCCCTGAGCTAGGGAGATTCCATGGTTGCTGATTATATTGGTCGTGCCCGTGTTATTTTGGAAGATCTTGCTTTGACCGGTAGACCAATTGGGCTTGACGAGATGAATCTCTATGTGTTTCGTGGTTTACGGCCGAAATTTCAAAATCTCACCGCATCTCTCTCGGTTCGTGGTGCTGTAACCCTAGGTGAGTTGGCCAACTTTCTTGGTGCCCAGGAGTTTATTTGAGGCGGTGCAACCAGCGGTGCACCGGCAGCGTTCGCCGCATAGTGTGGCGGTGGTAACCATTGCCGCGGAAGATGCGGTGGCAACCAAGGTGGCCGAGGGCAGAACTCCGGCGCATAGCATGGAGGAGGCGGTGGCCGAACGCATTATAGCATAGGTGGCGGCCACCGCGGTCGTGGCGGCACTGGTGGTTCGGCAATTGTTTGTCAACTATGTGGTCGTACGGGACACTAGGCTATCAAATGCTACAATCGCTATGATCCTCCTCCACAAGCAAATTTGATGTATCAGAATACCAAGTCACATCCTAATGACTCACAGACATGGATTCCTGATACAGGGGTCGCCAATCATGTCACTCCGGATATTGCAGCCCAGCTACATCCGAGGAATACACGGGTAATGACACATTGTGTGTGGGTGATGGTAAGGCGCTCTCTATAAGTTGTGTAGGTCATGCTTCTTTTAATACCCCATCTCATTCCTTCCAATTGTCTAATATCCTTCATGTTCCCAGTGTCCCTACTTCTTTATTATCTGTTCAGAAATTTGCGATAAATAATAAAGCGTTTTTTGAGTTTCACCCGTTTTTTTTTTTTTTTTTTTTTTTTTTTTTTTTTTTTTTTTTTTGTGAAAGATATAAACACCAAGGAAATTCTACTTAAAGGCAATAGTCATGGCAGTCTCTATAAGTTCGCAATTGCAACGTCATTTCCCTCAGTTTTTCTAACAGCTCGCATCTCTCTGTCAGTGTGGCATGATTGCTTAGGACATTCATATAATCGTGTTTTACTTCGTATTCTTCAGTCGTGTCCAGTTAGTGGGTAAAATAATTTTATTCGATGTAATTCTAGTTTGTGTAATGCATGTCAAATGGGTAAATCCTCTCGATTCCCATTGGCAGTGTTGAGACATCCAGTTCTAGTGTCCTTGATTTGATATACACAGATATTTGGGGTCCAGCTCCCCTTTTGTCAATTGATGGCTATCGTTATTTTGTTATTTGTGTTGATGATTATACTCGTTACATTTGGTATTTTCCCATGAAATTAAAATCTGATCTGTATGCCATCTTTGATAAATTTCGTACTATGGTTGAACGATTTTTTAACACAAAAATTAAAGCCGTTCAATCAGATCTAGGAGCTGAATACAAAAAATTGCATCATTCCTTTACTCAGTTAGGTATCCTTCATAGACATCCTGTGCCTACACTCATGAACAAAATGGTCGTGTCAAACGAAAACACAGACACATTGTTGAAACAGGTCTGGCTCTTCTAGCCCGTGCCTCTGTCCCATATAAATTCTGGAATTTTGCATTTGAAACTGCAGTTTATTTAATTAACAAAATGCATTCTGTTGTATTAAATAATCTCAGTCCACACTTTAAAGTGCATAATTCCAATCCCTCCTATTCTTTTTTTCTTGTCTTTGGGTGTTTGTGTTACCCATATCTCAGACCATATAATCGTCATAAATTCTCGTTCTAATCCACTCCATGTGTTTTCCTAGGTTATCCTGAGTCGTTTTGGGGGTATAAATGCATGGACTTATAGACTAACAAGATTTATGTGTGTAGACATGTAAGGTTTGATGAAACAATTTATCCTTTTGCTACTAAAAATACTGTGCAACCATCTCCACCTGAGAAATTCTGTCTATGGGCTGAGTCAGTTCTTCATCCCACTGTGATTTCGCCGTCGATTGGTCCTGTGGCCGTCCCACCCAGCACCGCCGGCAGTGATTCAGACTCCTCTCCACCACCGCCCACTGCTGCCGCCAGACCATCTGCCTTGCCGGACCTTGAGCTGCCTGTTGAGGCTGTCCAGCCTGTAAAATGCCCACGTGGGCGTCCTCGTGGGTAAACGATCAAGTCCACGGTTCGGACTCATGAGATGCACACTCAGAGTCGGTCTCGGGCTCCACCTTCTATTTAACGGTTCAGGTTTGTCATTCGGATCCCACTTGTTACACACGGCCTGTTAAACATTCAGAATGGCGAGAGGTTATAGATCAGGAATTTATTGCCCTACTACAAAATCAGACTTGACAACTTGTGTCATCTCAGTCATACATGAACATCATTGGGTTTAAATGAGTTTTTTCATACGAAACGAAAAGCTTATGGTTCCATTGAAAAGCATAAGACAAGACTTGTAGAAAAAGGGTTTAATCAAGTTCCAGGTCATGACTTCTTTAATACTTTTAGCCCAGTGGTTAAACCAACCACAGTTAGGTTGGTTCTTTCTATTGCTTTTTCTTCTGGGTGGACTATTAAGCAATTGGATGTTCATAATGCTTTCTTGAACGGTCATCTCTCTGGAACTGTGAAAAATATGAAGCAATCGGCTGGATATATTAATGCTTCCTATCCAAATCATTTATGTCTGCTAAAAAGGTCTCTTTATGGATTAAAACAGGCTCCCCAAGCTTGGTTTAATCGTTTGCGCACCTTTTTACTATCTATTGGGTTTCAGGCATCCAAAATAGATGTGTCTCTTTTTTATTACTCACAGGGATCTGATTGTGTATATCTACTTGTTTATGTGGATGACATTCTTATGATGGGAAGCAATACGAATCTAGTTCTTCAACAAGTCTCAAAACTCTCCACTGCATTTAAAATCAGGGATCTTGGTGAACCAGACTTTTTTTCTTGGAATTGAGGCAATTAAATACAATGATGGGATTTTACTTTGCCAACAGAGATACATGCAGGATATTCTAAAACGTGCTGGAATGACAGACTACAAATCCTTGTCCACCCCAATTCCCACGTCAAAATCCATCCCCATTGACGCAACTCCATATGATGATCTTACACAATACATGAGTTTAGCAGGTGCATTACAGTATTTAACCATCACTCGTCCTGATCTATCCTTTGCAGTCAATCAGTTATGTCAACAGATGCATGCACCTACTACTACTCACTGGGAACAACTAAAGAGAGTATTACGGTATGTCAAAGGAACTGTCAATTTCGGCCTACCAGTCAGGAAGTCATCCTCAAGGACCAGCGGTCCGGAGTGTAACACCCCAAAATTTCAAAATATTTAAAACCTATAAAATAAAAGCTAACCTCTTATTAATTTCCAAACAGAGCATAAACTAGACATAGTAGTCGGGGTGCTATGCCGCATCTGAGCGGGAGAACTCAGAGGCACAGGCTAAACTTAACTAACAAACCATAAACTATAACTAATACCCAAGCACCAATCAAGGCACGCAGGCCATCTCACCCAGGCTAGAACTATCTAACTAAGTCCACGAATCCAACTAGCGCGCTCCGAGGCTACTCGTCTATACCTGAAAGCCAAATAATATCTGTTCAGCGAATAATGCTGGTAATCCACTCCAACACGTTAAGTAAAATATAGGTAGATATAAGAAAAACCATTTTGAAATCGGAATACATATATAATCCTGAGGAAATCTAATTTAAACCCGAGGACAGACTCAACAAGAAATAGCAGATACACTCAATATAATCAAACATAAAGATTCTAGCATGCATCCGAAGGTTGCAAGACTACTCAATACAAACAATATCAATACCCAGTTATCAACACAGTCAAACAATCAATAAGACACGTATTGGTGCACACACATATGGTGGTGCCGCAGAACCATTCACATGACCCGAACCTTGAGTTCCATTGCCAAGGGGTTAGTGCATATATCTCTGACATGGCCCCGCAGTACTTTAACTTGTACCGCAGCACAAGGAAGAACCAAACGATTGATCGCAACCAATCAATGAACCACAGCTCATTATTATCATATATGTTTGATCGCAACCAAACTATGGACCGCAGCCCTATTATCATATACGTCCGATCACAACCAGACTATGGACCGCAGCCCTATTAATATATATATATATATATATATATATATATATATATATATATATATATATATATATATATATATATATATATATATATATATATATATATATATATATATATATATATATAACAGCCGATTGTTCTCAACCAATTCAACTGCCTGTATATCCGACCGATCGCAACCAGTCGGGTTAATACCTGGTTGTTCTCAACCAACCATATAGTCATTATAGCCAATTGATCGCAACCAATTGGGTTATCATGCACAACAACACAGAAGCCAAACAACATGCAACCCACATTAACACATACGAGGGGGAATCATCGGGGAACACTTAACCCAACATAACTCATACGTAACAAACTACATTCACACTACCATGACACTCATACGGGATCATACACCTTCCTCCTAGGCCAACGGGATACCAATTCATGCAATACACAAGACCCTTTTATCCTAAGAATGGTACCCGATACATCAAACTAGACTCACGAACACCGAATGGGGTGCAACGGGACACGGGGAAACGACAAACGGGGGAAAACATCGCATTACCCACCAACTTTCCAGCGGGTGGGCGGCAGGTGGAGGACAACCCGTCGGCGGCGGCTATGATTCCAGCGGGTGCCCGGCGGGCTGGAAACCGGGTAAGGGGCAGCAGGTAGGTGGTGGGCACCCCTGCCCCCACCTACCCCCCACTGACTCATATGTAATATTTTGGTCCCGGGATCCTTCGTGAAACCCAAAACCACGTCCAGACACATTCAAACATAAACGACAACACCATGTATTTAAGTAACGGCATTAAACCAAGAATCACACCAAATACACCCTAACACGATTCCTAAACATGCCAAGACTCAACACCCGATCATGCAAAATCCCACCCAAACATACCAAGAATATTATAATACGAAATCCACGTTATAACCCTAGGGCTCTAGACATAATCAAAATACAAGAACATTCATATAATTTATCATAGTATCAAGAACGTCAAGATTATCACATAAGCATCAAGATTCACACATAAACATCAAGATTATCACATAAACACAATATAAACCCTAGGCAAAGCTCTATCAAGACTCAAGCACAGAATCATATATCAAAGGAGCCAATGAATAAGATATAGCGAGAAAAATAAGTTTTGTTGAGACATGGATTACCTCTTAGCCTTAATCTATAACCTTGGCTACTAAGATTCTCTCTCTAAGATTCTTCTTCCGATTGTCCTTCCTAGGCTAGTTGGTGGGGAATTCCTTGGATGGGGTTCTTGTGGGTGATTTCGTGTGAGGGAAAGGGAGAGGAAGGGTTCTACTTGCTTCTTAATCTCCTATTTATATGTCTAAGAGAAACCTATTCAACGCCTGAGTAATAAGGCCCACTTTCTCCTATTCCCTATGGGTTTAAGGTTCCTTGTTCAAGTAAGGGTCCACGATCCATTGTGGGCCGCTTAAGTTAATTAAGGGGATTATAATCGGATTGACTCCCTTTTTAATTGTATTAATTAGCGGGATTAATTTAATAATTAATTCGGATTTGAAGGTCGTAACACGGGGTGTTACACGGAGGATAGAAAATCTACAAGTGGCTTTGCTGTTTTTCTTGGGTCTAATCTAGTATCATGGGTTGCAAGAAACAGAGAACTGTTACTAGATCTTCTATTGTGGCTGAATATAAAGCTCTAGCAGATATTTGTGCTGAAGTAATTTGGATCACGTCTCTTCTGCATGAAATCCGTGTTACAGGGATCTCGGTTCCCAAATTATGGTGTGATAATCTTGGAGCTACATATATGTGTGCCAATCCCATCTTCCATGCCCGCACCAAACATGTTGAGATAGATTATCACTTTGTGCGAGATAAAGTTGCTATTGGAGAGATTCAAGTAAATCTCATATCAACAAAAGATCAACTTGCAGATATATTCACCAAAGCCTTGCATGGTCCTAGATTTTCTTTTATCAGAGACAAGCTACAAGTTACAAGTGTACCTGCGCTTGAGGGGGAGTATTAGGACTTGTATTAGGATTCTTGTATTTGAGTCATAGTATGACTCCCTATTCAAGTCTTCCTATGATTCATCTTGTATATATATTCATCGTGTTTGTACAGTTGTAATTAAGCTCATTCAATACAATTCATACAGTTCTCATCTGTTCAATACTTTGACATGATAACCTACGACACACATCTCACAACACATGAAACATGTAGGGAAAAACTATCACTACCAAATATCAACATGTGCTTGTAAGATAAAGAGATTATAGCACAACTAAGATCCCAGTCATATACACAACAAGGCAAATCTAAAGCTTCCTACACAATAATCTCATTGTATGATGAATCGCTCTATGCTACCACCAATAACCCAATTGCACATGACACACTACCAATAACAAAAAAAAAAAAAAAGACATGTACTGAAGATGAAGACAATGACAATGCTACCCAAAAGAGGATTAGAGAAATTTAAACCAAAAGTAGTATTTATTTACACTATCGCTTTTAGACTAAGTACTTAGACTTAGCGTTATTACAAAGTTGCAAACATTTATTTTTGTGACAGTTATATATAATCAATCTCTCATATATTATCTTGCATTTATTTACTTTAAATTACCGATTTAAATAAACAAATTCAACATTTATTTACCTATGCATGAACATCTGCTATATAATATTGCATTGATATACTTTGAAATACTTATTTAAAAATAAACATTGGGCATTATCCCATTCGCGCAAAGTGCATAAAAAAACTAGGTTTTAGGTTCGAACCCCATCCCAATCAAAATTGGCATAATTAAGTTCCTCATTCTATTTTACTCTTATTAAATTAAATAAATAAATAGCTACAATAAAAAATGATACATATGCATTTCTTTAATTTAGAATTATGTGTCTACAATGCCTTTATTTAAAACAAATTATTCATTATCAATAAAGTAAATAAGAGAATATAATTTCAGTAGTTATATTGTCTTTTATTTTCTCCAATGCAAAAATTCTTTACATTCAAATTCATCCATTCATATTCATTACATTGTCCATTATCTTCTTTATACACTATCTTGTAATTAAATATCAAAGTTATAATACAAAATAATGTTATATATTTATTTACCAAGTATTTTATTAATACCATGAAAAAAAATAGTTTGAAACCAATCATATTAACTACTTGTAGGATTTGCTGACAAAGAGAGTATTCAAATAATCCAACAAATTGTAGCGGTAAACTAACTCGTAATATCTTTGGACTACATCATATTTAAAATGTTCAAATTTTTTTTTTTACTTTATCTAATCTTATTCCTTAAACTAGGAATTTCTTTACATACAATAACTCATTCACACAATAATGGTTGAACCAAATGAACCCCGAGGAGAACACTTAAAAGACTGGTATGCTTTTATGTTGATAATAATATGTAATGTTAATTATATCATTATCCTACATAACTATATTTAAAACTCATTATTAAAACGACCAATGTAAGGCAATAGAACATCGTAATACACTTGATGCACTGAAAAGATGTCGACACTACAACAATGCTACAATCAATTGGCAAACCTAGAAAATGAAGAAATTTCAAAATAGCCACCGTTGATTCATTCATTTATCCTATATGTAAAATACTTATTGTGCATTCATTAAATCTACTATCTTCTATACTAATAAGAGCCAATAAAATTAGGTCTATAATGTCCTCAAATTATTAAATGAAATGAATGGTTCAGATTATTCAGATTTTAATTTTTCCTTGAGATTTCCAAATTTATCCTTAATTATTAACTTACTCATTGATTTCAATAAGAAAGGTTTTAGGTTCGAACCACATCCCAATCAAAGTTGGCATAATTAAGTTCATCATTCTATTTTACTCTTGTTTAATTAAATAAATAAGTAGCTAGAACAAAAAATGATACATATGCATTTCTTTAATTTAGAATTATGCGTTGAGGTTGTTTTAAAAAATATAATAACAATAAATGTCATGAAGGATTACAATTCCTTATAATTTTTAATGATGTGAATATAATCTAACTCACATTATATCATAATTCATAAAATTAATATCGATATCGTGTAACAAAGTACAACATGTTGGATAAAATCTACGCAATGTCAACGAAGACTGACAATCTTTCAGGAAAAGGGAAGAATAAATGAGGGCGACAAAGAAGTCTGTGTCATGTTATAAAGCACTGCCTTAAAGCGTTTAATTTCCGGTGATGATCCGGGACGCTCTCGATTGGCTACACAAAGTTTTAATGAACATGTATATGCTCAAACAAAACAAGACGAAGGAAGAAGAATCATTAAGATGCGTTCTTTGTTTCAAATAGGAAGGAAGTTATTTATAGTAAGGTGCTCAACAGACTTCTCATTTCCCACCACACATCTTGCGCTATTTATGTGGGTGTGGATCTTGAACAACAAATCTAGACCTAATCTTACGGATATGGAGCAAGAAATAATTAACAGCAAATTGCATTCTTATTGAATGGTTCAATTCCCAACAATCCTCCACCCATTCAAAAGAAGGCCTAGATAACGAAATAAAAAATGTCTGAGCAATTCACCAAAGTTGATCTTAATGTTAGTGAGATATGTAACACCCCGTGTTACGACCCCTAAACCTAATTAATTAATTAATTACTCACCCTAAAAAGGGAATTAAAATTCATTAATTAGCTAAAAGGGGGTCCACCATAGTCCATGGGCCCTTATCCCTAAAGCCAATCCCTTAGTCCTTTAGGAAATAGAATTAGCAAATCCATACCACTTAGACCCTAATTGGGACTCTTAGATATATAAATAGGGACATAGGAGGCACCTAGAACTCACACCACAATAACTTTCACCACATAAGAATTCCCATAGGAGAAATCAAGAAAGAAGGAATCTTAAAGAAAGTCCCTTCATAGCCAAGGAAATTAATTAAGGCTAAGAGGTAACCCATGTCTCAACAAAACCTATTTTCCTTGCTATAATCTCCTCCTTTGACTCCCTCTATATGCTTGTGTCTTGATGAATTCCTTTATGTTAAATCGTGATATAATCTTGTTGATTGATGTGACGATTTTATGTGTGATCTTGATGATCTTGTTGTTAAAAAGAGGTTCTTGATATTTATGTGATGATTCTTTATAAATCTTGATATGTCTTGATGATAAAGATAAAATATGATTTTGATGATTGGGAAGGGATTAGAGCCCTAGGTTGGATTGGGAATTTGTATTGTGATGTTCTCAATATATATTTGGGTGGGAATTCGCATGTTCGGGTGTTGTTTATGTTAGAAGTCATAATAGGATGAGTTCTATGTGGTTCTCTCTTTTGATCCATTAATTGCCTACGTAGTGTCGTTATTTGAGTTTAAAAGTGTCTAAGCATGGTTTCGGGTTCCACGGAGGACCCCGGGACGTTTATTTTAATAAAGAGTCAGTGGGGGGTAGGTGGGGGTAGGGGAACCCGCCACCTACCCGCTGCCCCAAAGAGCACCGCCGGCAGCGGGCACCCGCTGCCCGGGGAGTTATCGCCGGTGGGCAGCTGGCGGGTGGCCCTCCACCCACCGGCTACCCGCTGGTTTGTTGCCCACTTCGGGTCTTTAGCTTCCCCGTTTGATGTTCCCCAACCCCCGTGGTGTCCTAACGGACCCCGTTTGTCGTGCATGAGTCTAGTTTGATGTTTCGGGTGCCATTCGTAGGATAGGAAAGTCTTAGGAATTGCATGCTAGTTGAATCGGTAACCCGTTGGCCTAGGTAGAAAACGCATGAACCCCTTAGGTCTATTCTTAGTATGTGAATGATCACACGTAAGTTTATTTATTCGTCTCCCCCTTCCCAATGTGCTAATACGTACTACTATGTGTTATGTGATGCATGATACCCCAATTTGGTTGCGATCAAATTGGGTGTTCCTGAGCTGCGGTTCAGAAGTTGGCTGTGGTCAAATTGGTTACTTATGAGCTGCGGTTCATTTTTCTGGCTGCGGTCAGTGATTCACTTCTTGGGCTGCGGTCCACATGGGCCTCGTGTGCTATGGTCCACCGACTGGACGCGCCAGGCGGTGTGTAGGGCCATTAGCCCGAGGAAGGCTGTATCCCACCGAATGAGTGATCAGGCGGTGTGTAGGGCTACGGTTGGCTGCGATCCACCGAGTGTATGGGCCAGCGGTGTGTAGGGTCGTAGTCACCGAAGATCATCGCTCACCGAATGAATCCCTCAGGCGGTGTGTAGGGCTTGATCTACTACGACCCACCGACTGAGTTCGTCAAGCGGTGTGTAGGGTCGCAGTCCCCCCTTTAAAGAGGATCACAATCCACCGACTGAGCGTGTCAGCGGTGTGTAGGGCTGCGATCCGCTGTCGAGTTCGTCGACGGTCTATACGGTTGGGTTCGATCAACCCCTTCATGCTGCGGTATGAGGTAGGGTGCTGCGGGGCCGTGTTAGTACTATATTTACTAACCCTCATGTTCGGGGCATGCGATTGGTCCCGTGGCGCCACCAAAGTATGCTTGTGTGACTTGAATGATGATTGAATGATTATGTGAATGATTTGAAAGTGAACGGTGACCTTAGATACATGTTCTTTATGATGTTGTTTCTATATAACTGTCTATCATCGCTTAATGTGCTTATCCCTATCTGTCGAGTCTATCCCTGGTTTTAAAGATAGAGTCTTCTAAGTTTATATCTTCCTGCTTCAAAATGGTTTTCATATAATCTATATATATATATATATATATATATATATATATATATATATATATATATATATGTATGTATGTATTTCAACGCGTTGGAGTGGGTTACCAGCATCATTCGCTGAACAGATATATATATATATATTTGGCTTTCAAGCACAGATGAGTAGACCGCGGAGCGCGCTAGAGATCCGGAGCGTAGATTAGTTAGTTTCCCTTTCGGCCTGCGTGCCATGATTATGTTTTGACATTGCTTTGAGGATATTTAGTTAGTTTAGCTTGTGCATCTGAGTTC